GTTATTCAGATTGTTTTAGAGGCTCTAGACTCGTGACCCCAGATCTTTTGGGAGTGTTTTATCAGACTTCGTATTTCTCAGTATTATTCTTCGATAAATATTGGATTATTATTCTAAAACTATCATATTCTCTTTAAATTGTCGGTTTTGAGGTTTACGGTTGATTTGGGAACGACTGTGGTCAGGCTTGCCTAGCAATTGTGTTGGGCGCCACCACGACCGGGTTTGGGGTCGTGACACCTATTCACTTGCTCATATTCTTATACACTTCTGATCCAATGTACAATACAAAAAAATGTGATGTCTTAATTAATGTGAATTACACATATGTATAAATGCTCTTTGTTTTTTTGATAATAACTAAAGACAAATTTCTGCTTTTTCAGGTGTACTAATCCTTTTAAAGAAAAAGACAACTACTTCTGTAGCATTATTCCAGCATACTCCATCATTACTCTATATCCGTTGTATGCTAAATTTGTTTCATTGATTAAATCTGATCCAGTAATACATACGTTGCTTCTAATTTCGTCGAAAGGAGAGGTCTTGATGTTAATGGGAAAAATTTTGATGTAGATAAAGATGACTTCTTTATGTTGACTACTAAGGAGGGGAAAATGATTGTTGAGAGGGATCATTTGAGGGTTAAAAGGGAAAGTGAGTTGCGTAATTTAGACTTTGAGCAACATCCTGCTCAGATTCTTGATGCTTTCATGCCACTCTATTTGAATAGCCAGATTTTGAGGGCAGTTGAAGAGTCATTTGCGAGTGACCTTGCTGCTAGGATGAATGCAATAAGTAATGCCACGGATAATGCAGTTGACTTAAAGAGGAACCTTTTGATTGCTTATAACCGGGAAAGGCAGGCGGAGATTACTGCTGAGATATTGGAGATTGTTGCTGGAGCAGATACACTTTACATAGCTACACTGAATCTGGTATCTAGATTGCTCATTCTTTCATAATTTAGATATCTTATTTCATTTCCATTTGCTGAAATTGCTCCTTTTAATGTATGCATTTCATCTAACACTTGAACGTTGCTTCCTTCTATCGCACGTATGTTCTCTTGGATTTGGTGTTTATCGAAATTGATTATAAGATAACTCTCGGTTATTTTATATGTACTATGAATATATGCTTCATTACAAGTAATCTAACTTCTACTCCTGGAGTTTCCGGAACTAATGTAAGCAGGATGGCTGCGACCATTAGGTTAGTAGCTTCGAAGTCTTAAATGGTTTAGTTTCTTTCAAAAGGTCATCAGTTGGTTTTAGATGCTCGTGTTGTTGGTTCCAGTAGGGTATTCCTTTACCCACAGTATGTTTCTTTCTGTTGAAGTGTCTGCCATTAATTTAACTAACTTAATAGCTCCGACCATTAGTCATTGCATTGGCTTATTTAAGTTGCAAATTCTTTTCATTCACTTCAATAATCATGCAATGTAAGCTATTTACAGATGCATGTGACTAAGCACACTTTCAGCGCTCTTTTAGGAGTTGCATAATGCTGCCTTGAATTATCTTTGAATGCTTTTTCACAGTGATGCTGCTGCAAATGAAAGTAAAAAGACAGCACCAGCAGCAGTTGATGGTCTTTCATCAGTCTCACAGCATTCTTCTGGATATCAACCTACTTGGGGCGGGGTGCCATGTCGAGTTTCCATGGCTGATATTGTGAAGATGGCTAAGCCGCAGAGCAAAGTGCCAAGTGTACCTAATGTATCTCACCACAATGCCAATGCCCACTAAAACCATATTCAAGGGCTGCCGTCTGGTGCATATATCATAATCAGTTTTCTGACGATCATACATCCAATGTTTCTGATGTATATCGAAACTCTGGGGATTATCTGGTGCAGCATCGTTCAACCGATGAGGAATGGCCTCTAATCGACCAGCCATCAGTTGCTAGCCAGCCCTCTATCTCAGAGCCTCCCACAGATTCTGAGCTGCATCCTGATCCAGTTAACATATCATATGACAGAATTAATCATCAAACTGAGATTGATGAGGTTCAGGGGATAGATGACAGCACTGCTAAAAATCTTGGTAGTCCTCCAAGCATAAAGTTGCAGGAGAGGGTCTGATTTTTTCCGATTGAGCATAACTTCTGCGTCATAATAAACTATTTGCTACCCCAGCTACGTCTTCCACATTTTGAATTATACTATAAGATGGCAGACCATCAATAACTTCATATACAATTTCTGCAATTTAAATTATTTATGTTCATGTTTTTTTATCGACATTTTATATTTCCCCTCAATAGCTCTGGTAATCATGTTTGGACACCAGTAAACACTTTATTATTCACTGCTTAATTAGCTTGTGTTAGCTTCTCCAGTTTTATGATCTAGACCTCTCTCCTCTCACTAATAAAGAACTCAAGTTGCATGCTGAATATTACCATGTGTTAGCTCTTTGCCTTGCGTCTGACTCATTGGATTCTTGCACCACGTACCGCCTTCCTCTTACCACAACCTTGCACTACGTACTACCTTCTTTAGATAAACGTCTGGACATACTACTCTTACAATTAGATAAGCTTTCAAAATGTGATAGAATTACTGAAATATAGTTGTTAATTCAAAGGACGTCGCATAAATATTAAACTTTCAAGTAGTTAACGAACATTTGATCGAAAGTCAGTTGCTATATAGCTAATCGATTATTAAAATGCAGAATGTTGTTACTCAATTATCAGCGGGTACTTCTAAATCCATCCAAGCTTTCACATCTTATGAAGCGTTAATTTGTATACACGCAACAGGGTAAAATTCATTGACTTAAAAATTAAACGCATAGGGTTACACTTGCAGTGCCAAACTTTCAACTGAAAGCAGCAAGTTTTTTTGAATCTTTGTCATGTTCGGTTGCATAAGGTTATATCTGTACGTATTATACTCTCTGATATGAATGTAGAGGTCACAGTGGAAGCTTATTCATCGGATCCTACACGTTTGCACCCATTTTCAGCAACAACTTTACAACACTCTGCCACTACCCCCATGATTTCCCACTCCCACACATAACTCCTCACATCCCAACCATTTCATACACGTCCAGTCGTCCACCTTCAATTTCCTCCCCACAGTTGCTTAGACAAGAATAACTACTAACCACTTCCCCACGTTTTCAACCCTCTACTTCACATCTCCCTTCACAAATCCTCCCCACTTACCCACTATAACCACTTCCCCACAATACTAATCATATGATATTATAAAAGGACATAATAAGGGAGGTGTTAATACAAGAAAAATTCAGAGAACAACGAAGAACAGAGGAGAGTCCGACAATATTACGCAAACAAAAATATTCTGCAAATTCAACATAGCCTCAATTCTGCCGGAAAAGTGAGTGCTTTTCGCATCTTCGTTTCCAATATTGTTTGTCACAAGTTATTCTCGCTTGATTTTGGTTAACTTTTTGAGTAAAATTTAATTTGAGGAAATAATAAGATATTGATTTGAATAATTTTTATTACTCTCAAAATTAATAATACTTCATCAATCTGGAAAATTGGTTCTCAAAGGCAGACTTCGTTTGGTTTTTCCTGCTTTCTTTAGCTTTCTAGCTATTCAGGGCAATTGGTTCTCAAAGGCTCACGTAATTCCAATGGAATACTTTATAAATTAAGCAACCAAAATCAACACTGTTTTTTCGCTTTCATTACTGTTTTTTTTTTCGCAATATAGTATAGTATCACCGACAAGAATATACTAAATTTTATGTGATCTATTGGAATTTAGTATGTACAAGTCTATTGGCGTTGTCAACTTATTTGTATACTAACTTAAATTAGGATCAGGCACATTCTCAGACTGAAGAAGCAATGGCTACCATTGCTGAAGTCCAGCATCTCGTTTCTAAATACTCATATTGGAATTAATTTAAATAGTAGTATCCTCTATTCATTATTCTATCCAATTCAACAATTAAATGTTTCTATTAGCATGTCACTATCCTTTTAGCAGTCCTCTCAAGAAATAACATCATTGTCTCTCAAATTTATGAGTGTTTTGAGACGCTACTGCCTGAGCTATATCTACTAAGGAGCAAGTTTCAAAATAATATGCATGTACTATGTTATTTCATTGACATGTTGTAGCTTTTCTTATTCTTTCTTTAGTTCTATTTCAGATATGGATGAACAAGGACACGTTCAAATTACTCCAACTACGACTGCTCAGATTCAACGAAAGGGACAACGTCGAAGGATACGCCGTCGCAACATTTATTCCTATAATGCTTCAGACTCAAAGCCTGAAATTATCAGGAATGTCCCAAGGGCTATACAAAATAAGTTAAGAGACCGAAGGGCTGAACGAAGGGAAAAAGAAAAGAAATTTAGAGAGCATAGGCCTGCACTAGATCTACATATTGCAAATTATCAGCTTATGAGAGATGCACTTATAGATGCTATAGACAAAATTATACTATATGATTGGGAAACATTATCAATTTTAGTAGATTCACTTGGACAACTTTTAGGTAGTATTTTAACTGACATTTATCACGAGGTGTGGCCAAGTGAACCTTTTTGGGTTTATGTCCTTAAATTTGAAGCAGAGTGGGAGAACCGTCTTTATGACTACCTGTAATTTATTTAATTAATGAAAGTTTTTTATTTCTTTGCAACATTACCTGTCATTTAATTATTATTTTTTTCTTAAGAGCATTAGATAAGATAAATAATATAATGGAATAACGCAAACTTATACCTTCAAATAATGCAACTTTAATGACATATCAATGTCTTAGAAGAGGAATAACATGAATACACACATTACTTTACGCTCTTTGTTTGGTTATATGTAATTCTGATGTATAGTAATACTTTACAATTGTTTTGCCTCTTTTCCAATCAAAAATTAATGAGGAATCTATATTAATGAGGATTTAAAGATTAATGAGGAATCGATCAAATGGTTTAAATTTTACGATTGATCAAGTTATAAATATATGAGGTGGTTAAGCAACTAAGTTAATAATTTATTATATTTTTTTCTTCGTATTTTTCGCGCATCGCGCGGGTACTATACTAGTTCCATTACATAATCCTGTTGACTGATCAATATTTCTTAATAACATTACTGGAATACCAACCTTTAGCGTAAGAGCATGATTTGGAACTCCAGAACATTTAATTGTATTTAAGAATTCAGGAGTGTGTACATGTTCTAGTGCTGAATAAGTACTGTCAGAGTTGCAGATTGTATCGGAACTCAAATATGATTTCTCAGAACTTTCATTAAGGGAAATCATATATTCGTTGATTGATTCCACCATATCAAGAGTTGGGGTAAGAATGGCTCTTTGTTGTAGGTATCCTATATCATTGCAACGACTGTTGAAATTCGGATACGTACTTTCTACAATTGCAGATGTTGGATCAACCGATTGTTTTATCAAAAGATCATCTGGTATTTGGACTTTTTCATTGCCATCAACAGAAGTACCAACTATACCATCGCTAATTGCCAAGATCCAATTTGAAAAAACTCTCAACTCATCTACATGTGTCCCTATTTCATTACCTTGTAATCTCATATTCTTTGTTAACTCTAACAGTTGACAGTGAGGCCACAAATAAGAAGAATTGAGAGAAGCATTAACAATATCTTGCCTACTACCTTTTGGAATAACAGGTAATATTTCTGAAGTCACCACCAAGAACAATTGTTTTACCTCCAAATGGTCGGTGTAAATTGGATGCATCTTTAAACCTAAGAATATCTCTTAAAGTTTTATCAAGAGCTTCAAAACAATATCTATGCATCATGGGTGCCTCATCCCAGATAATCAACTTTGCCTTAATAATTAAATTTGCTAAAGGAGTACCTTGCTTTATATTACAAGTTGAATCTTCAGTTACATTTAGAGGAATCACAAATCTTGAATGAGCAGTTCGACCACCTGGTAACAACAAAGATGCAATCCCGCTAGATGCAACAGTTAACACAATATCTCCTCTAGATCTTATGGCAGAAGATAGAGTTCTCCAAATAATAGTCTTGCCCGTTCCTCCAAAACCATATAAAAAGAAAAACCCACCTTTGTCTTCATTCACATCTCTTATTATTTTTTCATAAACTGACTTTTGCTCATCTGTCAAATTCTTTACTAATTGTTGATGTTCCTCTGCCAAAGAGCGTTTATTATAACGCAATTCGTCCCGTATTTGTCACAACCCAATTTCCAACCCGGTCGTGATGGCGCCTCTCGTGAAGACAAGGCCAGCCAACTAACCCAAATCGTCTCTTTAACAAATATTAAACATAAATGAATAGATAAATACAGCTTAACGACAATACTAACCAATATTTACAACCCAACACAACCCGACCGGGGTGTCACAAGTCACGAGCATCTAGAGAAGTCTAAATACAACTACAGGGCCAAAAATATACGGAATAAAATTTAGAACCAAAGGAAGTAATCCAGTGCCACTAACGTTGGCGGTCACTCTGCTCAGCTACGATAGCAATACCTTCAACCAGCTCAAAACCCACTACCGGGTGAACAATACCTGCATCTGCACGCGAGGTGCATGTAGTAAAGTGAGTACTCCAACCTAGTGAGCAATAAAAATGAATAACGGCTGAGAATATAAAATCCCACACAGGCACAAATAGTGCTATTTCAAACAATAAAATCAAGTAAACAGCAGGGACCAGTGAAACATAGCAAGAAATTCTCTTTGAAAACAATTAATAAAACAAGTATGCTCAAGTATGGTCAGTCATTGTTACCTGACCAGTCAGCCATTGTTACCTGACCCAACGCGTGTTTCAGTGTCATTGTTACCACTGGTCAGCCATTGTTACCTGACTGGTCAGTCATTGTTACCTGACCAAAACACGTGTGACAGTGTCATTGTTACCACTGTCCAATTCTAAATGGGTACCCGCGCTCACTGTGGGTGTGCAGACTCTGGAGGGGCTCCTACAGCCCAAGCGCTATATCATCATAAGGCCTGAAAGCCTGTACATATCAACATGAGGCCTGAAAGTCTTCTCACAATACACTCGAGGCCTGAAAGCCTCCTCACATATCACTCGAGGCCTGAAAGCCTCCTCACATCACTCGACATATCCTCACATATGGCCCTCGGCCTCAATCAGTCCAAAAATAATCATAAGCCCCTCAGGCATCAGTAAAGACAATAATGCTCAGCTCAAACAATAGTTCAAACATCAGTTAAAACTCAAGGTTGAGTAAAAATATAACTGAGTTCATGAAACAGTGTAATTCAAATGGACTGAGTTCAAATAATATTTCAAACAGTGAGGAAAACAGTGGTGATAGTTCATAAAGAGTTCAAACAGTCGGCAATAAGCCCCAAATATGGCAATAAGCCCAAATCATAGTGAAAACAACAAGTCATTGCTAATACGCGGTAAAATATCATCCGGACTGGACCAAGTCACAGTACCCAATAGTAAATGACCCCGCGCTCGTCATGGAACGCATGTCTCATCTCAACATAGCACCAAGTTGTGCAAATCCGGGGTTTCAAACCCTCAGGACGTCATTCAAAATCATTACTCACCTCGAACCGATGAAATCTCTAGCTCGCGACGCCTTTTCCCCTCAAACCGACCTCCACGCGCGTCGAATCTAACCAAAACCACAAGGAATACGTCACAATAGTCTAATGGGTCATAACCCAATCGAAAAGACTCGAAAAATATCTAAAATTACGAAGTTGGCAAAAACCCGAGCCCCGGGCCCACTTCTCAAAAAATTACGAAATTCACATCACCGGATTCCTCGTCTCGCCACGAGTCCGTACATATCAAATTTACCAAAATCGGAGTCCAATTGACCCCTCAAATCCCTATTTTAAACTCTCATAAGTTCAAGCCCTAAACCACCATTTTTGACCTTTGATTCCTTGATTATTCAGTCTAAATCCATGTTTTTACACCATAAAATCGTATTCTAAGTCCAAGAATCCATACCTGATTAAAGCCCTCGAAACCCTCTTCAAAATCGCCTCAAAG